TGTCGTCAAATCTGTCTGTCTTATCCGTTGTTGGCGTGTGTCTGCCTGTTTGTCGAATGTGAACCAGTCAGTCAGCTGTCTGTCTGTCATGTTAGTTGCCACATTGTCTATTTGTGCATGTATGAATCTGTCTATTTTTGTCAACCTCCTGTCTGTTTCACTGTCTATATTCACCCTGTGTCTATTGTAGTCATCTTCTCCATGCATTCCTATTATTATCTTTTTATCTCTTCTCCCTTTCCATGTACAGTCACCCACAGGAATAAGTATACACTGTAGCTGTAAGGTCGTCTGGTAACGTTGAAACTGCGCATCCAGACGCATGATGAAACTCAGCTCCCCCCACCTATTATCTCTAACTAATTTCTGTTTCCCCCTTCTTTATTCTTCTATTTACTCATCTTCCTTCCTTTACTAATCCAAACAACATTAAAAAAAAGTAGGCTAAGAAAAAAAGTGGGAGGAGGAGGAGGGAGCCGTATGATAACTGCAATCGTGGGCTGACAGCGTACAGCGAATGAGGGTGCACCAAGTCCGTAGACTTGCATCGTTTTCCAGCGTAAATGAAATGGTTAATTAATGGCTTCCTAAAGAAACCATCGACATGGGACCAGGTTTGTTCCACTCTACGATTTTTTTGCGATTTTTCCACAAAGTTTAATGAAAAACGATTGTGCCGTTTCGGCTGGCCAGAACAGACACACACACACACACACAAACAGACACACGCCTAGTCCTATAGTATATTAGATTCCCGGGAGGTGTCGAGCGCTGCTGGGAAGTATGAAAGCCATATATTTATCAAATTGTGATAATAACTTGGTCAAGGACAACTCAGGCGACTCAGTCTCTCGGAGAAGATAAGAGAAGGGGGAATTAGCGAAGCAGTTCCTCGTCGACCCTCTTTGTACTAGACTATAACAACACAAGGCGTGACCGAAATATTGCATACTATCTAGAGTAGACAGTTATGCTTGAAACGAGTATAAAACCTCATGCCATTATTACATATAAACAACGGACAATATTGTATTGGCTTGTTGGTTACATTGTTGTCATGATATTTGAATTGTATTGTCGCTAAACACAGTAAAGTCAATTTAGAAAGTTCATGTGTATATATTCACCAGAGGCAGAGGTAAGATAGAACAGAAGTTAATAATAATTCAAAATCGTTAACAGCCAAACGAGGTTGTAAATAAACTGTGAAGAAGAAAGTTTCACACATCAGTCACCCTGAGTGTGTGTCTGTGTGTGAGAAGTTGGTGGTTGGTATTCATCTCTTCAAACCAGGGTAAGGCCTCTTTTACACTGCGGTTCTTCGCCGCACCTAGATGTGGTCGCCGCACCGGAGATACCACTGTTTCCTGCCGCACATTCGTTCGGCTGCTGCGTACAGCTACCCAACTTTGGACTCTGATCTACAGTTTGCAGCGTACGTGCACGTTACCGGACAAGTCCAGTGGGACGCCGCACATGCAATCCGGAGTAGGACCGGCGAATTCGCCGCAATCTCATATTGTGAAGCGGTACATAAGAACTATCAGTCGACTGCTATGTCCGGCACCGCACCGCATCTAGATGAGGCGAGAAATCTCATAGTGTGAAAGGAGCCTAACAAAGGAGTGTCGTAGTGTTTGTTGTGCTGGGGAAGGTCAAGAACGATAGTGGGGGAGAATCACTGTATTATTGACGATGATGAAAATAAATAAATGTCAATAGAATTAGGTTGGCGTGTAAATTAAGCACCCCAGTTTTTTTCACTGATTAAAAACACACTGACGCTATCTTGAGAGGCTATGGTAGGTTAGGTTAGGTGTTTAATCAGTTGAAAAAAAAAACTGGGGTAGCTAAACTTAACGTAATCTTAAGATGATAATAAATATGTAAAAATATAGTGACAATTTAATGTATATTTAATAACAGCTTGTAATATGTTGTAATTCAGGTGATAATTTTCTTGAGATATTTCTACAATATTCATCAGGTGCCTTCAAGAGAGAACCTGGATGTTAATCGATTTGCGGATCGTATTCAGGGTAATATAGTTAGCCAGTGCAGTTGACGAGTTGTCCGGTTTTTCGGACTATTCCTTGACACTGGGTCATGCAACTCGTTAACTCAGGGTGTGGTTGTTGTGTTGATGACAGCTTCTACACCTTAAACAAATTCACGCCTAGGTGGCCCTTGGGCCGGCCATCCTCGTTACACGAGGGACAACCACTATTTATTATTATTAGTCATGTCAATAATGTTAATGTTACTCGCTTTGTATTTGCATTTTTCTACTAAATAAACTGTTTCATTCTCAATTTCAAAAGAAATGGGGAAACAATGGTGAGATTTGTATTGAGCAAGAATACGGTATGTGGGAAGGATTGTGATGCGGGGGAAGGGGGGGGGGGAAGAAGAGGAGGAGTAGATGGATATGGTGTGGGAGTGTACAGGTGACGCCGTTGGGCGAAGGAGGAAACGGAAAGTCACTGGTGTGTGTAGGTGTTCTCCCCTCACCACCACCAATCACCCATCACTAGAAAATGCTGTCATCCTTACCCGGTGACTGCCTGTCTTGCCACCTACAGAGCAATAAAGAAATATAAGCTATTAACAACACAAGGGCGACAGTTTGAAAAATTGAACCTCCGTTTATGCATTATGTATGTGTACACGTATGCATATATATATATATATATATATATATATATATATATATATATATATATATATATATATATATATATATATATATATATATATATATATATATATACAGTATATATGAACAGTATATATGTTTTGTTTGCATGTATATGCCTGTTATGCATGTGAATGTGTTTCACTTTGCAAAAAAAAAAATTAAATTCGGTGAAACATTGCCAGGAAAAAGTGCCTAAATTCGGTTATCGCTAGGTTAAGATCATGGCCATGGCTGGCTGTTGTTAGGACAGTTAAGCCAACAGTATAACCGTGAATAATATTAAGACAAGAGGGTTAACAACGGGCCACGGCCATATAACATTCAACACCTGGGTGGAAGACTGTATAAGTACTGTGTGTTTGTCCTACATATTCCTTGGTCTGAAACAACTTCCTCATTGTAGCTGTAGTGTTACTAACACTATCAGTGTCGCCCCGAGTTGCCAGCAGGGCTCCCACTACGTGTATAGTAGTAGCAAGGATTACCTTAGACGCTGCTGATTTTTACGAGACTTATCAAAATTACCTTAAAACTGAGAGAAAATGTCTTTAAAGATTATATTAGTTTTTCGATTGCACATTTAGCATAAATTACGATATAGGTACATTTGTTATATCATGGTAGTACTGGAGCCTTCTCTAATCACCACTTGGCAACTGCGCATATCTAGATTTCGAATGTGAGAAGTTTGGATATTAATAAAAAAATTAATTATATTACATGAAGTTTTTATTATTTCACTTATAAATTACAATTTACCTGAAAAACAAATAATTCATCTTGGTAAAAAAGAAATCGTTATGAATATGAAAATAAAAAGTATAATCCTTTGTTGCTTCAATTAAAAAAAAAACTTATCATTAACAAAAAAGATAATCATTTTGGTAATGAAACAGTACAAACCAATGCTCCATTCTTTAAAACTAAACCTCATTAGGAAAATAAAACAATTTTACATGTGATTCAATAATAATTAATGTGAACATTTCAATTGCAATAAAAGAGGATGTTTTTATCTTAGAAACAAATTGATAATAGAAAATTTACTCAAACTGCTTTGATATGAGATTCTTGGCTTCCTCATCTGTAGCGTTGCTTTTTTGCTCTTTCTAAGTCTAACTGGAGTTGTCTATCTAAAATTAACTGATGGCTGGTGACTCCTTTCCTTTTAAGACCATTATTGGTGTGCAGTAAGTTCACCAGACTAGTACTGTACTTTTCAAACGGCTTCTAATATGTTTTAATTCTACCGCAAATGGCTGAAGATTCTTTCTGCAGATGCGAGATTGGGGAATTTTGACTACTATTTCATTTTTCAACAAGAGTTGTTTTTTACAGAATTGAGCAGCATCTTTCTCTTCCTAAGCTTAACTGCCTCCACTCTATGTCTGCAACACGTTTTTTTTCTTCAAGATAAGGCAGAGTTACAAATATTTCCCCTAGACTGCTGGGTTTTCTGTCTAACACATTTTCTGGTTTAAAAAAATATAACATTTTAAAAGGACCAGTTATAAGCATTGACCTACCACTAATTCAATTAAGAATGTCTGACAGCTTTGTTTAAACTCTCTGATTCAGTCACTACTAATGGTAGATTGTGGAGGTGTTTCGGTAGCATCAGTACTTGGCCACCCTACAGTACATTATGAACGTCAATGGCAAAAGGGTCTCAATCTCTTACGTGTTTAAGACTGATGAAATCACTCAAATTTCTCCTTCTATTTTGATCAAATCGAAGAGCAATTTACCTCAGAATTACCTTAAAAATTACGTTAAATGTACGCAAATTACATTAAACTAAGGTAATTACCTTAAGTGAGAGCCCTGGTGGCCAGCGCGGAGTGAACACTGCCGTATTCCAACAAAATTAGCCAATTATTTAATTATAATCAGCACTACCCGTATATAAATGTTACTTGTGCTGTACGTAGTATGAAAAATTGTCACTAGAGGACACAAAGTTGGATAGGTAGTGCTGCTGGGAATGTATGGCGACAGCAGTAGTGTCTTCTCTCTGGTGTCACGTATAACTGAGTCAAGCCATTTGAGGAGTGGGTGGGACTTTTTCCACCGTGCCGGCGGCTGATTTCCAAAAACATAAATTTTCTTTCCAGTTCTTAAGTTCTATTAATCAAATAGAGACTTAACCACCCATTTATAAGTTCCGGAATATTTTATGTTATATTATTTAAAGTTTTAGCGACACGGACTAAATATTTTGAAAATATAAATTGCAACAGGCAACTCGCATCTCCCCAGTAAGGGAAAGACTAACTAGGTACCCCAACACTCAGCGCGCACTCGTTGTAGTTGCCACCGGCCACAGCAGCGGTTGACACAGCTGTTACCTGGCAGGGAATATGTGTATACTTGTATCTTCAGTGTTGGTGCTTGTGAAAATATATTCGGCTTGTGACGCATTAAAGGAAAACAACTACCATGTGTCTTCGCATTTCGCTAATGAGGTGAGGTTCTTGTCGCTTAACAGCACCAGTTTTAACATTTTTATACGATTCTTTTAAATAACAAAGTCAGAAACAAAATATTTTAGCCACGATTAATAGTGTAAGAAACCTCAATGAGATTCCGTGATGTGTGTGCAGCGAAGGAAACTGTCTTCGGAAAAATTTGAACTTATTTATCGCCAAAAGTCAGACAATTGTAGTAGACTCAACACCTCTAGTAATATCATATCACACTTCAATAGCTATTATTTACTTTTTCAAATTGGATTTTCAATAAACTTCCGCCAAATAAATGTTATGCTGCTGATTAGAGCTTTGATGATGACTCATCTCAATCATAAGATAATGGATCATTACAGGATTATTTATTCCATTAAATATTGATGATATAAAAATATTGAATGTTCATCTTGGTTTTGAGAATAATAAATCATCTACACCCAACCCCTATTGCTCATATAAGCATCCAACCTATGTTTGAAGGTATCCAGCGTATTCGAGTTAATGATGATATTTGGTAACTTGTTCCATTCATCCACTACTGTTACCAAACCAGTGTTTTCCTATTTCGCTGCCCAAATCTAATTTTGTTTAATTTGAAACCATCATTGTTACGAGTTCGCTCCTGTCGATAGTTTGAGCACTCTTTGTAATGTCCCCTCTTTCAGCCCCCTGACTTCCATTTATACACTTATCATATCGCTCACTTATGTCTCTCGAGGGAGTGCAAATTAAAATGCTTTAACCTGTGTCTGTACTCAAGGTTCCTAATGCCCGGGATTAGCCTTGTCATTCTCCACTGAATTCTTTCCAAGGATTCTATATCCATTCTGTAATACGGTGATCAGAATTGAACTGCGTAATCCAAGTGAGGTCTCACAAGCGCAAGATATAGTTTTAGGATGACCTCGCTAGTCTTGTAACTAACATCTTTGTATGAACCCAAGTACTTTATAAGCCTTGTTTCGAGCAAATACACATTGTTTACTTGGCTTAAGGTTCCTACTTATCATTACTCATAAATCTCTCTCACAGTCGGATTTCTCAATGGCATCGTTGTTCATCTGGTAACTGGTTTCCCTGTTTACATCTCCTATACTGAGTACTTTACATTTGTCCACGTTGAATTTCATCTGCCATTTTTCAGACCATTCGAAAAATTTGTTTAAATCTTCCTGTAGTTTTGTGGAGTCCTCGTCAGATTTAATAACACATCCTATTTTAGAGTCATCAGCAAATTTACTTATGTTGCTGTCTATGCCGATATCTATGTCGTTTATGTATATAATAAATAATAATGGTCAAAGTATTGAGCCTTGGGGAACTCCGCTAGTGACGTTGCTCCAATGGGATTTAGTGCCGTTAATGCTCACTCGCTGTTTCCTGTCTTGTAACTACGCCCTAATCCATTTAAGGATATTACCTTTGATGCCATGTGCTTCTATCTTTCTAATTAGTCTTTCTTGGGGGACTCTGTCGAAGGCTTTGCTAAAGTCGAGATATACCACATCATAATTGTGCCCCTCGTCCACCGATTCGAAAACTGATTAATTGCGATTCTGTGTAATTTCGAATAGAGTTTGAAATGATTGCTTTCAGTAATTTGCCTACTATTGATGTTAGACTGGTTGGGCGGTAGTTAGAGGATAGTGATCTATCCCCCTTCTTGAAAATCGGTATTACATTCGCCATCCTCCAGGGTTCTGGTACTACACCTGTTTTTAAGGACATGTTAAACAACTTTGCTAAGGGCATACTAAGCTCTTCCTTACATTCCTTTAATACTCTAGCAAATATCTCATCGGGACCAGGTGACTTATTTGGCTTTAGTTTGTCTATTTGCTTACTAACATCGTTTCTAGTCACTACTATCTCGCTTAATTTTTCTTCACTATCTCTGAATAGAGTCGGTGCCTCGGGTATCATGTTTAAATTTTCGGTGGTGAAAACTGTTGAAAAATATTTATTCAGATTATTGCTCATTTCTCCGTCGTTATCAGTTGGCTCGCCGGTATCTGTCTGTATTGGTCCAATCTTATCTCGTGTTTTAGTTTGATACATTTGGTAGAATCCTTTGGGATTTGTCTTCGCCTCCCTTGCTATCTTCAGATCATTATTCTTCTTTGCTTTCCTTATCTCGGTCTTAACCCTACCGGCCAATACCTTATAATAATCCCGGAGGTAAATTTCGCCACGATTTATCCTTCTACCTTTGGCCAATAATGTTCTTTAAATTATTTATTCATTTAGGGTCTTTGATGTCTGATCTGAGTTTTTTGTATGGTATGGTCTGCCTTTGTGCATTAAGTAACTCGTTATTTAAATTGTCGTGGAACTCCGCAATCTTAGATCTCGTTATCAGGTCGGTGTCAACCGTCAGGTTCGTGGGTGGGGTGAGGTCGGTGTGAGTCACCCCCAGGCGTGATACCCCTTCCCTCAACTGCCTCTTCAAACTATCAAAGTTTGCCCTTCTGAAATCTGGGACTTGGTGGAATTTTCCTTTCATCTGCCCTGAAAATCTAACTGGAATCTAATTTCTTTGTGATCGCTGTTTGCAAGTTCGTTCCCTACCTCGACATTGCTAATGAGGTTTTCTCTGTTCGACAGAACTAAATCGAGTATATTATTACCCCGGGTGGGTTCGGTTATATGTTGACTTAGGAAACAGTCCTGGATCGTTTCGAGAAAATCCTCGGATTCTGAGTTACCCGTAAGGTCAGTCCAATCTATTTGGCCAAGGTTAAAGTCGCCTCATCATGTTGTGACTTAAGGTAAGTGGAAGCCCCAAGCATTTCATCCCAGATAAGTCGCTCATTAACGCTATCAAGATTGGAGGTCTAACATTACTCCTGTGATTAATTTTTCATCACGATTAATTCTATCCAAATTGTTTCGTATTCCTCATTTTTGCCTTTTGTTTATTTCACACTCAGGTTATCCCCATATGATTACATTCCGCCTCCTTTCCCTGGTCTGCCTGTTTGGTATGAACAATTTTGTAACCTGCAATTTGGGTGGCCTGGACAGGTAACTCACGTGAGTCTAGGTTGATCCATGTTTCAGTAGGGGGTGTCATACGGAGGCGAATTTTTTTTTTTTTTAGTTTGAAAAATCGGCCCATGGTATTAATGATGTAGTTCTATGTGCAGAATCATATGATATCTTCAGATTTGAAAAGTTTTAATGTTTTGCTAGGTAAATTTTAACTTGAAATCTTATGAAAATTCAGTATTCCTACCCTTTTACCAACACCACTAAATAGCTTATTTAAAGTAAAGTAAATGTATCAGGTTAATTTATTAGGATGAAAATGATCCAGAATAGTGAAACGAATGATCTTGACACATTTATTAAATTTAATATTCCTTTAGAAAACAAAATCATCAAATACAAAACCGGTTTTACTACTACGACCCGGTGTTGCTGCACACCATAGAGAATATGTCTTTCTTGCTTCTGTTTCTACTCATCACCTCCCTGCTGACCACCTGAGCTCGGATGTAGCCTTCCCTCCTCTCCTGGCTGTACACGTGACTGCTGGCCTCGCTCACTTGCTGTACACAACGCTCTATACTCTGGGTGTGCGAGGGCCAGGCAGGGACATGCATGGGTTTGTCCAGGAAAGCTCTGACTTCAACATTGGTGAGGCTGCAGGTAAGAGGGGGCTCACTGCCAGCCAGGATGTTATCCAGATCTATGAGATCAGTGAGGGTCTTGGCACCTAGATTGACTTCAGGAGTCTTCCTGACCCTGAAGGAATCGTCACCAACTGATTCGTCATGCCCAGATCCTCTCATGTTCTTCATCTCATTGCAGAGCATTGTCTGCAGAACTGCCTCGGGATGAGCATACCAGGAAGATCTCCTCACAGTCTGCTCCACAATCTGAACAACCTTCCTTGGCTGACTCCTCAGGAGCTCAAGTGATGTCTTACGTTTCTGCAGGTTTTTGTGCAGAAAATCCAGAAAACTCACTAAGCAGTGTGATGTAGAGGAGGTCCTCATATTACCAAATTGCTGTGGATCAATTGACTGATAGATTCTGGCAAATGCCCACTTAAAAACAAAGTAGACTGGGTATGGGGGTAATGGCAACTGGCCTGAGGTCGTTAGGGGACTGTGGGGTGGTGACCTTGGGGATGGGGGTGACAAATGCGGTTTTCCATTCATTAGGGCATTTGCTTTGTCTGAGGGATGCATTAATAATTAATAGAACAGAGGGGGGTGGCAAGTTCGACTGCAAACTCCTTGTATATTTTGATTGAGAGGTCAATTGGGGTCGTGGAGCGTTTGGATTTAACTTTCAGGAGTTTGTTGGCGATTCATATGGTTGAACACTGGGAGGGGGGGAGGGGGAAGGTAGTGGTTGCCGAGATCAGTCATTATGAGGTCCAGGGTGGCATTGCCATGTGTGGGAAAGTCAAATATGTGTGTAAGGTGGAGGTGTTGGGTGATGTCACTGATGTCTAACTCACTGAAGTCACCGCATATCACTAGTTTAGCACATGGAAATCTGGATCTCAGGGAGTCAGCAGTGTCTCTAATATGAGTAATCAGTACATTGGCGGTTGGTGCGCAGGGGGGGTGATAGCAGACACAGACAATGAGGGAGGCAAGCTGGCGAAGGTGGGAGGTGGGAGTGACCTGAACCCACAAGGCTTCCACATCTTCAGGTACATTAACACCTAGGGGTGATGGTTTGAGGTCACTGCGACTGTACAGAACTACACCCCCACCTCTCCTGTCCTTTCTAAGGTGGTGAAATAACTCATAGTTTTCTATGGCACAGATCTCAGGAACAATTTGCCACGACTCGGTAATCGCCACAATACCTGCACCAACTGACTTCACTGTGACACTGACCTCCTCCACCTTGTTGCATAACTCTTCGGCAACTGAGGTTACAGTGTGCATACTGGGTTATTAAATACCAGCCTCTAAAGTTCACAATGATAGTGACTATCTCGACTCACCCCGGAGTGAAAATAACCGTTATTACTATTAGGTTAGACGATAGTAATAATAAGGGTTAATTTCAGACGCAGGACGATTCGTTTGTTTCTGTTAACTCGCATTTTCTTGTTAGATTGTAAGACATTTAAATTATTTCTAGCTACAGAAGAAAAAAGTTTATAATAATTCAATAACTTTAATGTTTTTAGTAAATTATATAAGAAATCAGACCCCCAATGTTTTGTCTCAAACTAAGGATTGTTTGTGGGTTAGGCTTTGTGTCAGTGTTACCAAGTCCTGGGACGATATAGCAATCATGTATAACTATATCCTTTTAGCTAGCAAGGTTATATTTAATGTTTAGTACAATACAAGTCATCATTTTCGATCCGACACAGTTATTTGAGTCAGTGTAGTGTTGAAAAAAAAATGCTCACGATGGTGAAGGCTTTGAAATCCTCGTGGTTTAACTGACTATAAAATGGCAAATACCGCCAGTTTTTTTTTGGTGTGTGTGTGTGTGTGGGAGGGGGGCATAATTTTAGTAATGCACAGTATATTCAAGTGAAAGATCTCCTCTTCTTTTTCTTATAGGGCAGCCTGGTAAGGTTGGAAGTAAAAGCATTTCCACAACAAAGTTATAAGAACATAAAAATGGAGGAAACTGCAGCTGGTCTATTGGTCCATACTGGGCAGTCCCGTTGACACCCAACCACTGTCTCGCTCATATATCCGCCCAACCTATGTTTGAAGCTATCCAGCGTATTCGAGTTAATGATGATGTTTGGTAACTTGTTCCGCTCATCCACTACTCTGTTTCCAAACAATGTTTACCTATTTCACGCCTAAATCTAAATTTGTCTAATTTAAAACCATTGTTACGAGTTCGCTTCTGGTTGGATAATTTGAGTACCTTTGTTATATCACCTTTTCTAGCCCTGACTTCCATTTATACACCTCGATCATATCGCCCCTCACTCTACGTCTCTCGAGGGAGTGCAAATTAAGATTCTTTAACCTGTCTCTGTACTCAAGGGTCCTAATGCCCGGGATTAGTCTTGTCATTCTCCTCTGAATTCTTTCTCGGGATTCTATATCCATTCTGTAGTACAGTGACTAGAACTGAACCACGTAATCCAAGTGAGGTCTCACAAGTGCAAGATAAAGTTTTAGGATAACCTCGCTAGTCTGTATATCGAAAAAAACTTTATCTCCCGAAAACTTGTCAGCTCCCAACCTTTGAAAATTGTAATGTATTAGTGTAAAAAGAATATCCCTCTATAAACACATTTACGTACTTCGTGATTGGTTATCTCTCTCCTTCCTTTTATTCAATTGTCACGTGTTGAGGTAAATAACCCAAAACAGGAGGAAATTGGTTGTCTGGTATTATAACGCGAGGATGTAACACCCTCACAGAACACAGGTGATGAGGTGTATCGCATGTATTATCCCTGCACACACACACACACACACCAGGCTTGGGTTCAAGTACTTTTTCTTAAGTACAAGTGTTTTAAGTATATTAGCAAGTAAGTACAAATACAAGGTGTAGAAAATTTGGTCAAGTAATTCCAAGTACTTAATTGTCAAGTACAAGTACTTTTGTGAGTGACAAATATAACTCGTCTTCATTTGATTGCAACTTTGCTTTATCACAAGAATATAAATGATGATTTAGTCACTGGAAAGAATCTAAACTAAAGTGAATGGGCCAGACTCATAGTAAAAAGAAAAATAATCATTATCATGAAACAAATAACAGAAGAACAATGTTTCACTGCCTGGGCCCCATAAACACAGCGTGTGTTAATCACTTTTTAAAACCATGGCAGAATTTTATTTGTAAGTATGATCATTGAACTACACAAACATGACTGTTTTGAAGTTTTCATCGGTTAAACGGCAACGATCTGGTCGGAATACTTTTCCTCCAATGCTAAAATCTCTCTCTGCTGATGCCGAGGATGCTTGAATAGTGAGGCGAGTCCTGGCTAGCTTGGCTAATTGTGGGGAGATGTCCTCATGTCTCGTCCCGAAATACAAGGGATTACTCTCCTCTGGTTCACATGTCATGTTGAAGTAACGTGTGATCTCATGATCAGCAGTGATATCAGCAACAGGTTGGTTAGCATCAGGATCTTCCATAAAACTGAACATTTTACATCTCTTGGGTGGAGAACTAGTATTTACTGGAGCAGCCAGCGTTCCAAAATCTGCAGTGATCTGTGCAGATCTACGTAGATGCGATACAATCTTTGCTGTTTTATCATGTATCCTGTTCAACTGGGTGGCATTTTTGAATCCATCCTTTATAATCAGTTGCAACGTATGTACAAAGCGAGGAATATGTTGAGCAGGGAGACCTGAATAATCCTCAGAGTCACTTGTGTTGACTTGAATGGCATCTACATACTCACTGTCAGTATCAGGCAGCAAACTAAATCAAACATGCTTAAATGCGAGTGAGTTGCCACATCTTTCTTCAAGTTGTAACTTGTAAAATATATCAGTAGATGCTTGGAAGTACTTGAATCCAACCCTGTCACACACACACACACACACACACACATTATGCTGGTTGGGAAGGCGCAACACTGTATGATACAGGTGTTAGGCAAGTGTTGCAATGAGATCAACCACTTGCCATTAATATCATTAATATCAGTACTCAGAGCACCTGCGACAGGTAGAGGGGGAGGCAGTTATCAAAGTTTGTCAACTTTGTCCTACTTTAGTGCTGTCGCCATCGGAGATTAAGATAAGGTGGATAAAATTAAAACAGTTATCCCATGTGGCGCAAACCAAGCGGCTGATATAACAGTTTAGTTGGCCATCTTAACAGATCTTCTATGGTGTTTTGACATTAAAAAAATATTTTATCCCTCTTATACCCTTTTATTAATCCTCTTTATCTCCTAATCCTCCCTCTTCTCCATCCTCATCCTTAACGCTCGTATTAATCCTATTATTCCCTTTAAACACAAATATATCGCCCCATTTTCCACATACTCGATAAAAAAAAAGTGAAGGATTCCCCCTCCTTTCCTCCCTCCTCCGGGGCTGTCGAGGACCCTTTGACAAATGTATTAAGTGACAGTTAAGTGAAAAACGAGAAAGAACAAAGTCCCGCCCTACCTTCCCCCCTTCCTTCCTTACCTCCCTCCCTTCCCCTCCTTCCTCCCTCCCTCCTTTCCCTTCCTTCCTTCCCTCCCTTCCTCACCCTACTCGCTCCTGACGAAGGTGTGGGGAAAATGACTTACGCACGTCGTGGACCATTGGCAGCTAGAATAACCTAACAAGACACGACAAGGAAAGTTCTCCAAATGTTCTAGAAATTATACTTACTGCGAGTGAACATCAGACCAGGTGTGTAGTGTGTATAAACAAGTAGACCAGGTGTGTAGTGTGTATAAACAAGTAGACCAGGTGTGTAGTGTATATAAACAATCAGGCCAGGTGTATAGTGTATATAAACAATCAGGCCAGGTGTGTAGTGTATATAAACAATCAGGCCAGGTGTGTAGTGTATATAAACAAATAAATCAGGTGTGTAGTGTATATCTATATAACAGACTACAGCAACTGCAACATCTGACACATGACAGCGAGTTTCCGGGTTCTTTCTTAGCAGACGTTTCAAAGAGCTTGAAATAAGATACGTTATCTGAATTGTCTATTATTATCCTTCACTCAGTTATATATAATTACGTGTGTGTGTGTGTGTGTGTGTGTGTGTGTGTGTGTGTGTGTGTGTGTGTGTGTGTTTGTTTTGATATACGTAGCCAAGAGCAGAAGGTGAATTATTAGCATACAACACCTCTCTCTCTCTCTCTCTCTCTCTCTCTCTCTCTCTCCATCCATTCAGAAACAAAGCACCCCAGTCAGTCCACCACTTCCTTAACTTCATCACAATTACCCAACCAAGCTGTTAATGACATGTCTTTTTACAGGTAGATAGAAATACCCATACAGGTGAAGTAATTCGTATTTTCTGACACACACACACACACACACACACACACACACACACACACACACACACACAAAGGTAATCAGTGCTTCCTGTCCTGTGGTTTGGGTCACAATACAGAATTACCATGGTAAGGGACTGCTGCATTAACCAGTTCGACCTCTTCATTTGGCAGGTCGTGGAGGCGGATAGCAGCTGAGTGTCGATTACGGAAAAGATTGTTACTGAAGAGCGTGGTCGTCCTGATCGTCGTACAGGTATGTGATGGTGGTCGTACACAGGTAGGTGGCGTATCTGTAGTTCATATTACTTGTGGATTTTCTTCTTGACGTGTATCAGGCTGGGATATTTGGATAGCTCGTGTAAGAAAACAAATGGCTGTGAGAGTGTGTGTTGACTCGACTTGATCTTACAGAGTGTGTTGGTGTACATGCTGGTGGCCTCGAACCACCGTCTACAGGAGGAGAAAGAAATGGAAAAAGAAGACCATCAGGGGGACGACACTGTTCTTGGAGCCTGGGTGGTGGGTCAGAATATTGTTCTCTTTACCGCTACCTACGGCCGAGGGACTTTTCTTTCTCAGGAGCTTCAGGATCCGCGTCAGGAGTCAGGCCAAGAGTCTGTATATGTCGAGGCACAGAAAGACAACACAACAGAGGCATCTCCTGGAGTGAGGGTTGGTGTAGTGTCAATAAACAAGACTGGACATAGAGGTGGGGATAGTAAGAGTGAGACGAGATTACCAGCAGGTCGCCGGGGAGGTGTTAATGGCTCTGGGGAGGACAACCCGCATAACCAGAACGTTCCCGGAGCACTGACACCCGCGAGGAAAGACCATGGTGACGGAGAGAACCAAGCTGGAGAGACGGTAGGAAAAGAGAGAGCGATGAAGGATAAAGTTGAAGGGGAGAGATCAATAGGGGAGGTGGAGGAGGAAAAGGAGGATCCCATCGGTGGTCGTGGTGTTGAGGAAGAGTTTGTCAAGTACCGCGGTGAAGACAAGATGGCGTTACTGGTGGAAGAGAACGACATCTACCGAGCAAATATAGAAAAAAAATCTGATGACGGAGTTAAAAAATACGCCCCAGAGACTACAGTGACTGTTAGAAAAAATATGACGAAGAAGAAAAACAATACCAGTGGAATGGATGATAAAAGTTATACGAAAAATGCAGTTGTGAATGGTGAACCTAATGGAGTTGGCACTACGGGCGATGGTGAGGACTCTGTCGGTGTGGTTCAGACGAGTGACTTTAAATTCAGAACTTACAACAAAAGCAACCCAAGTGAGTTTGTGTTAAGTTTCGACACACGTAAATATTTCCAGGACATCGGAGAGAACAGGACGTGTTTCATCGGCGGTACGGATATTGAGAGGACAGAGCAGTCACCTGAGGGAGGGTGTCGTTGTCTTGATCGATACTTCGGGATGGACTGTGGCATCCCAGAGGCGGCGTGGTACGGGAGATACAAACACCACTTCCCGGGCACATTGCTGAGACGCCGGGAGGTTCCTCGACGGATCATCAACGGCTTTCCCGTCAACCACGAATTCGCTCTGTTTGAGACGAGGATGCACGAGCTCTATGACGTGGTTGACGTGTTTATCGTTGGCGAGTCTAACTACACAGCTCATGGTGACCCCAAGGATCTTAAGTTCCTCTCCAGGTTCCAGCAGGGTTACTTGAAGGAGTACCAGGAGAAGATAGTCTATGTCTCCCTGGAATTCTTCTCGTTAATGTCACAGAAAAGCGGCTGGGTAGCTGACAGTTACCTCAGGGTCTACCTGGGCGAGAAGGGTCTCTCTCTCCTAAAGGGTGTCCGTGATGATGACCTCTTTGTACTCTCTGACGCTGATGAACTTCCAACCCGGGAAATTCTCACTTTCCTGAAGGTCTACGACGGTTACCCTGAACCCGTCACCTTCGCCCTTCGCTGGAATGTCTTTGGATTTTTTTGGCGGGTCTCCAAAGAGAATACGTGGCTGAACGTTATCAACGGCAACAAGGAAGAGGTCACCCATGTTTCCTCCGTCGCCACGATAGGAATGTTGAGGAAGGTGTTGCTCGGAAACGTTTACAACATCCGCAAACAGGGCATGTGGAAAAACCTCAAGATGGCCCACTCGGTGAGGAGCTACAGGGACGAGGGCCACATTGTAGGAGATTGGGAGGCTGGCACTGTGGGGCATTATGCCGGGTGGCACTGTTCCTGGTGCTTCAGGTAGGTCCACCACCCCTGTTAGACAGAGAGAAAACAGGCTTATAATTATTAACTCCTCAGAATCATACCTAAGCACCTACATAAACATTAAACCTAAGAATCTTTACGTATCCAAACAAACCTATGACCTTGTCTCCCACAGCCCAGAAAACATCGTACAAAAGTTGAACTCAGCCCAGGCGGATGATAAGCCTCGGTGGGGGGACTATCCAGAGAAGAAGAACTTGACCTATGTGGCCACAAGGATCTGGCGAGGCCTGTACGTGTTCCCTGTGTATTGTTATACGATTCATTTTCACTTGACCTAATGATCTCACGTAATACTAAAGTTAGTGTAGGTTTTCCAGGTTAGGTTAGGTAATGAAAGGTAGGTTAAGTTAGATTAAGTTAACCTAACATAACTTATCCCCAGGCAGCTTTAGGGTTACTAAGAAATAATCTGGTGAAATGTGGGTGCCTAATCTTCAGGTGATCTGTAGTGTCCATAGTTCATTAATCATTGAGTCTCCTGCAGATGGTTTGACGACAAAACTCACTTCCTACCCATCAACAACACCCAGGACCGATTCTACGCTCCCCGCTACCTGCTGGACCACCCTGAGCAATACCGATCTATGCTGTATCATCCGGGACATCCTCTGAACCTCAACAAGACCTGGAGCCCACCCTAAAGTACGCTGCCGGCTTACCCTTACACCAAGCTCAGGTCATGTTCAGGGATCACCATACATACAAATACACATCATCATCCTCATATACTGCTACTACTTTGTTGTCACTCGGAATCGAGAATGACGATCATCCAGCAATATACAATGATATGAGTTATTTGGGATGTTACCTTCATTGGTGAGTTTTGAGGTGACTAAAGAGGCCAATACAGTACATGAGTCTATTACATAGACATTATTTTGTATTCATTTTTATACATCTTTCCTTCTCTACTACAGTACATGAGTCTATTACATAGGCATTATTTTGTATTCATTTTTATACATCTTTCCTTCTCTACTACAGTACATGAGTCTATTACATAGACATTATTTTGTATTCATTTTTATACATCTTTCCTTCTCTAATACAGTACATGAGTCTATTACATAGGCATTATTTTGTATTCATTTTTATACATCTTTCCTTCTCTACTACAGTACATGAGTCTATTACATAGGCATTATTTTGTATTCATTTTTATACATCTTTCCTTCTCTACTACAGTACATGAGTCTATTACATAGGCATTATTTTGTATTCATTTTTATACATCTTTCCTTCTCTACTACAGTACATGAGTCTATTACATAGGCATTATTTTGTATTCATTTTTATACATCTTTCCTTCTCTAATACAGTACATGAGTCTATTACATAGGCATTATTTTGTATTCATTTATTATACATCTTTCCTTCTCTACTACAGTACATGAGTCTATTACATAGGCATTATTTTGTATTCATTTATTATACATCTTTCCTTCTCTAATACAGTACATGAGTCTATTACATAGGCATTATTTTGTATTCATTTTTATACATCTTTCCTTCTCTACTACAGTACATGAGTCTATTACATAGGCATTATTTTGTATTCATTTTTATACATCTTTCCTTCTCTAATACAGTACATGAGTCTATTACATAGGCATTATTTTGTATTCATTTTTATACATCTTTCCTTCTCTAATACATGAGTCTATTACATAGGCATTATTTTGTATTCATATTTATACATCTTTCCTTCTTTAATACAGTACATGAGTCTATTACATAGGCATTATTTTGTATTCATTTATTATACATCTTTCCTTCTCTACTACAGTACATGAGTCTATTACATAGGCATTATTTTGTATTCATTTATTATACATCTTTCCTTCTCTAATACAGTACATGAGTCTATTACATAGGCATTATTTTGTATTCATTTTTATACATCTTTCCTTCTCTAATACAGTACATGAGCCTATTACATAGGCATTATTTTGTATTCATTTATTATACATCTTTCCTTCTCTAATACAGTACATGAGTCTATTACATAGGCATTATTTTGTATTCATTTTTATACATCTTTCCTTCTCTACTACAGTACATGAGTCTATTACATAGGCATTATTTTGTATTCATTTTTATATATCTTTCCTTCTCTAATACAGTACATGAGTCTATTACATAGGCATTATTTTGTATTCATTTTATACATCTTTCTTCTACTACAGTACATGAGTCTATTATAGGTAGTATTCATTTTTTATACATCTTTCATCTAATACAGTACATGAGTCATACATAGGCATTATTTTGTATTCATTAATATACATCTTTCCTCTCTAATACAGTCATGAGTCTATTAATTGTTATTCATTTTATACATCTTTCCTCTCTCTACAGTACATGAGTCTATTACAGGCATTATTTTGTATTCATTTTTATACATCTTTCCTTCTCTAATACATGAGTCTATTACATAGGCATTATTTTGTATTAATTTTTATACATCTTTCCTTCTCTAATACATGAGTCTATTACATAGGCATTATTTTGTATTCATTTTTATACATCTTTCCTTCTCTAATACATGAGTCTATTACATAGGCATTATTTTGTATTAATTTTTATACATCTTTCCTTCTCTAATACATGAGTCTATTACATAGGCATTATTTTGTATTCATTTTTATACATCTTTCCTTCTCTAATACATGAGTCTATTACATAGGCATTATTTTGTATTAATTTTTATACATCTTTCCTTCTCTAATACATGAGTCTATTACATAGGCATTATTTTGTATTCATTATTAAACATATTTTATACCATTAGGCTTTATTCATTACAATTCACTGTACTGTATCTCTATTGCCCTAATGCATGCACCTTATCAATATACTAACTCTCTCGAAGTCACATCAGCGGCCATATTTTCAGTATTGGAGTTTTCTAGTCATTATTCAGATCATTGTAAAAGTAAAAAAAAAATACATATATTTATACTGTATTTGTGTGATTTACTAACCTTTGTAAATTAACTTGTAGAGAGAGGAGTGTCATATATGTTAATGAATGGTTAAGTGTAGTGTTTTGTTGTATATAAAATGCTGTGTAGTGTGTAGTTAAGTTTGTACACACAGACTATATATATATCTTGTCATAGTTGTACAGTGTTCTATGCAGTGTAGATTCAGTTGTACAGTGCCCTATAGTCACAGTTGTAGTGTTCTATGCAGTGCAGTGTCAGTTGTACAGTGCCCTATAGGCAAGGTTGTACAGTGTCAGTTCTACAGTGCCCTATAGTCAAGGTTGTACAGTGCTCTATAGTCACAGTTGTACAGTGCCCTATAGTCAAGGTTGTACAGTGTCAGTTGTACATTGTCAGTTGTACAGTGCCCTATACTCACAGTTGTACAGTGTCAGTTGTACATTGTCAGTTGAACAGTGCCCTACAGTCAAGGTTGTACAGTGTCAGTTGTACAGTGCCCTATAGACACAGTTGTAGTGTTCTATGCAGCATAGTGTCAGTTGTACAGTGTCCTATAGTTACAGTTGTATAGTGTCAGTTGTACAGTGCCCTATAGTCAAGGTTGTAAAGTGTCAGTTGTTCAGTGCCCTATAGTCAAGGTTGTACAGTGTCAGTTGTACAGTGCCCTATAGTCACAGTTGTACAGTGTCAGTTGTACAGTGCCCTATAGTCAAGGTTGTACAGTCCCCTATAGTCGCAGCTGTTCAATGTCAGTTGTACAGTTTCCTATAGTCAAGGTTGTACAGTGTCAGTTGTACAGTGCCCTATAGTCAATGTTGTACAGTGTCAGTTGTACAATGCCCTATAGTCAAGGTTGTACAGTGGCAGTTGTTCAGTGCCCTATAGTCAAGGTTGTACAGTGGCAGTTGTTCAGTGCCCTATAGTCATGGTTGTACAGTGGCAGTTGTTCAGTGCCCTATAGTCAAGGTTGTACAGTGCCCCTATAGTCAAGGTTGAATAGTGTCAGTTGTACAGTGCCCTATAGTCAAGGTTGCACAGTGGCAGTTGTTCAGTGCCCTATAGTCAAGGTTGTATAGTGTCAGTTGTACATTGTCAGTTGTACAGTGCCCTATAGTCACAGTTGTACAGTGCCCTATAGTCAAGGTTGTACAGTGTCAGTTGTACAGTGCCCTATAGTCAAGGTTTGTACTGTCTCAGTTGCACTGTGCCCTATAGTCAAGGTTGTACAGTGCCTTATACTCAAGGTTGTACAGTGGCAGCTGTTCAGTGCCCTATAGTCAAGGTTGTACAGTGTCAGTTGTTCAGTGCCCTATAGTCAAGGTTGTACAGTGTCAGTTGTACAGTGCCTATAGTCAAGGTTGTACAGTGGCAGTTGTTTAGTGCCCTATAGTCAAGGTTGTACAAGTGTCAGTTGTACAGTGCCCTATAGTCAAGGTTGTACAGTGGCAGTTGTTCAGTGCCTATAGTCAAGGTTGTACAGTGCCCTATAGTCAAGTTGTGCTGTGGCGGTTGTTCAGTGCCCTATAGTCACAGTTGTACAGTGTCAGTTGTACAGCGCCCTATAGTCAAAGGTTGCACAGTGGCAGTTGTTCAGTGCCCTATAGTCAAGGTTGTACAGTGGCAGTTGTTCAGTGCCCTATAGTCAAGGTTGTACAGTGGCAGTTGTTCAGTGCCCTATAGTCAAGGTTGTACAGTGCCCTATAGTCAGGTTGGCTACAGTGTCAGTTGTACAGTGCCCTATAGTCACAGTTGTACAGTGTCAGTTGTACAGTGCCCTATAGTCAAGGTTGCACAGTGGCAGTTGTTCAGTGCCCTATAGTCAAGGTTGTACAGTGTCAGTTGTACAGTGTCAGTTGTACATTGTCAGTTTTACAGTGCCCTAGAGTCACAGTTGTACAGTGCCCTCTAGTCAAGGTTGTACAGTGCCCTATAGTCAAGGTTGTACAGTGTCAGTTGTACAATGCCCTATAGTCAAGGTTGTACAGTGCCCTATAGTCAAGGTTGTACAGTGTCAGTTGTACAGTGCCCTATAGTCAAGGTTGTACATTTTCAGTTGTACAGTGCCCTATAGTCAAGGTTGTACAGTGCCAGATGTACAGTGCCCTATAGTCAAGGTTGTACAGTGTCAGTTGTACAGTGCCCTATAGTCACAGTTGTAGTGTTCCGGTGTAGTGTCTGTTGTACAGTGCCCTATAGTCAGGTTGTGCAGTGTCAGTTGTGGTGTCCTATAGTTAAGGTTGTACAGTGTCAGTTGTACAGTGCCCTATAGTCACAGTTGTAGTGTTCTATGCAGTGTGGTGTCAGTTGTACAGTGCCTATAGTCAAGGTTGTACAGTGTCAGTTGTACAGTGCCCTATAGGTAAGGTTACATAGTGTCAGTTGTTCAGTGCCCTATAGTCAGTTGTAGTGTTCTATGCAGTGTAGTGTCAGTTGTACAGTGCCCTATAGTCAAGGTTGTAGTGTCAGTTGTACAGTGCCCTATAGTCACAGTTGTACAGTGCCCTATAGTCACAGTTGTACAGTGCCCTATAGTCACAGTTGTACAGTGTCCTATAGTCACAGTTGTACCGTGCCCTATAGTCACAGGTGTACCTGCCCTATAGGTGTACCATGCCCTATAGTCAAGGTTGTTGTGTTGTGTCAGTCAGTTGTACAGTGCCCTATAGTCACAGTTGTACAGTGCCCTATAGTCACAGTTGTACAGTGCCCTATAGTCACAGTTGTACAGTGTCCTATAGTCACAATTGTACAGTGCCCTATAGTCACAGTTGTACAGTGCCCTATAGTCACAGGTGTACCGTGTCCTATAGTCACAGGTG